AGTGTGTGTGTGTGTGTGTGTGTGTGTGTGTGTGTGTGTGTGTGTGTGCATTTAGCATGTTCAAGAGTAAAACAAGGGATAGGGAGATGTTTTAGCAGACTTTCAGAGGTTCATATACTGAAGGAACATGCTTCACTCAGTGTTCATGATGGAGAACTCAAAACATCAAATCAGTGAATGTAAATAGAGGTGTAGTCTCAGTGCCTGTTAAATACACTCACTGTGGTTGACCGATAAAAAATGCTCCTGCTGAATCTTCAAAACCTGTAACACACAAATAAATCAGACGCCAAATAATGATGCAAAGATATTTTGTCACAATATCAGAACTTTGTGGGTATTTTGATCAGGATGTGCAGTGAAGTGAGAGCGCCAACTAGGGGTAAAATTAGTAGAAAAGCTCATGAACATGAATTTAACTCATGATTCGTTGAATGAACATGCTGCTGGTGTGTGTGTGTGTGTGTGTGTGTGCAGGATCTGGCTCAGTGTGTGAACGAGGTGAAGCGAGACAATGAGATCATCCGTCAGATCACGACGTTTCAGCTGTGCATCGAGAACATGGTACAGAAGCACCTGAGAACGATTCATTTCAGCTCGCAACTCTGATTAATTTGTGTTTGATGCTGATTCTGATTCATTTGTGTTTGATGCTGATTCTGATTCTAATTCATTTGTGTTTGATGCTGATTCTGATTCATTTGTCTTTTATGCTGATTCTAATTAATTTCTGTTTGATGCTGATGCTGATTCATTTGTGTTTGATGCTGATTCTGATTCATTTGTGTTTGATGCTGATTCTGATTCATTTGTGTTTGATGCTGATTAATTTGTGTTTGATGCTGATTCTGATTCATTTGTGTTTGATGCTGATTCTGATTCTAATTCATTTGTGTTTGATGCTGATTCTGATTCATTTGTGTTTTATGCTGATTCTGATTAATTTCTGTTTGATGCTGATGCTGATTAATTTGTCTTTGATGCTTATTCTGATTCATTTGTGTTTGATGCTGATTCTGATTCATTCGTGTTTGATGCTGATTCTGATTCATTTGTGTTTGATGCTGATGCTGATTCTCTCTCCTTCTGTTTAGTCTCTGTCTCTGGCGTTATACGGACGCCCCAAAATAGACGGGGAATTCAAGATCTGCAATCTGGAGAAGAAATCCAAACAGGACCGGTGTGTTTGTGTGTTACTATAACTCTAATGATAATGATACGATAATTATAACTATAACAGTAACTGTAATGGTAATGATAACTGTAACGATTACTATAACGATAATGATAACTATAACGGTAATAATAACTATAAAAATATCGGTAACACTTTATTTTAAGGTGTCCTTGTTACACATGTACTTATATGTACTTACTATTATAACAACAATTATTTATGCATAATTACATGCAAGTAACCCTACGCCAAACCCTAATCCTAACCCTAACCATATAGTAAGTACATGTAGTTAATTAATATTACTCCGTACTTAATTGTATAATTACACTGTAACAAGGACACCTTAAAATAAAGTGTAACCAAAATATCTATAGTGATAACTGTAACTATGGTAACGATAACTGTAACAATAATGATTAATATAATTATAACCATAATGATAACTACAACTACAGTAAAAAATTTAACTTTAATGATATTTGTAAAGATAGCTTTAACGATATATTTATAATGATAACTAATGATTACTATATCAGCACCCACATCAACAGACGATAACATTCTGTTTGTTATAAACATGCTGCAGTTTTGACGTCTGTCTCTTTAAATATTCAAGCTCTTTAAATTCTGGTGGATTCTGATTGGCTGTCAATGTTTTTATTGTTCATCATCTGGGGAAAAAATAAAATTCCTCTGTGCTATTATTGTTGTAGTTGTGCTGTGGACGTCACAGTTGTCTAATTTTTATAGTTATTGTGATGCGTATCGTTCTTGATGTGAACAGGTTGTTAGTGTGTAGCGTGTGTAAAGCTCTCTCTCTCTGTGTGTGTGTGTGTGTGTGTGTGTGTTTGTGTGTGTGTTTGTGTGTGTGTGTTCGTCAGGAGAGAAGGACAGCAAGAAGGTTCTACACACCTCCTCTGGTCTCACAGAGCTTCATCATCATCATCATCATCATCATCAGAACACACCTGTACCTGACGCTTGTGTGTATTTACAGTGGACGCACACCTTCCTGCTGATGGATCTGTACGGTCAGGGCGGCTACGATCTCTTCTTTAAGACGCGAGAGCTGAAGAAGAAGTGGCTGGAGCAGTTTGAGATGGCGCTGTGAGTCCACTGCTCATATGTTCCTCAAAACTTCAGCTCAGCTACAGCTCTAATATGCTGCTCCTATGATAGTATAATATAACATACATGTTCGTAGGTCCAACATGTGTCCGGAGAACAGCACGGCTAACGGTCATGACTTTCAGATGCACTGTTTTGAGGACACCACCTCGTGTAAAGCCTGTCAGATGCTCCTCAGGTGAGATGCCAGATGCCAGTGTTCACCAGTGAATGAGCTGCTGTTTTCTGCTCAACAAACACCAGAATGCTGCTGCAGTTAGTTATAGCAGCTTCAAATTTGTTGAGATAACTTAAATATCCAACTTAACTAAAGTTAACTAAACATATAATTTTTATATATATTTTTTTAAGTTATAAGCTGAATTTGACGTTGTGAGAAATAATCGCAGCATTTATTTTTATGGTGTATTATGTTGGTTCTTGTATCTAATATACATTTAGCTTTCTGAAATGGAAAAGTATCACATGTGACTTTTAGCAGTTTTATTAGTTTTTAATTAATGTTTATTTTTATATTTTCAGTGTTCATTTGAGCTATAGTTTACATTTTTAATTTTGTTATTTTTATAAATGTTTGCTTAATCTCTTTAATTTTTTATTTATTTTAGTTTTACTAATTTAGTTATTTACTTCAACTTATTACTTTAGAACTTAAACTTACTTATTTTCATTTAGGGAAGCATTTCTAAGTTTTTCATCTAATGTTTTATTTCAGCTCATGAGAATATTTTTAATAGTTTTATTTTTAGTGTTTGTTGATAATAACAACACTGGTTCGTCTTTTTTGTCCGGGAGGAAGTTCTGAGCTGTGAAAGTTGCTGAATCGTTTCATTTCGAGTTTCATCAAACTCAGAGAATGAAGACTAATGTAGATGTGTCAGGATGAGACTCCTGTAAGATATAAAGGAGAGTAAATCTGCTGCTGTAGCTGGAGATGTGAGGTTTATTTGCTGATGTGTGGTGTGTGTGTGTGTGTCAGGGGGATCTTCTATCAGGGCTACCGCTGCTCGCGCTGTAAGATGGCTGCTCATAAAGAGTGTCTGGGTCGAGTTCCTGCGTGCGGACGGAACTCTGGTGAGAAAACAGATAAAGAACCTGTGAGAATGTAATGTGTCGCTGGTGTTCGTTCAGTCGACTTCACATGTGCTTCTCATTCACTCCACAGAACTGTCAGGAACGCTCAAGAAGGTCTGTGCATCCAAATTATTTCTGTCACTTACTTTTTGTATATTTTTTTATGTCGTATGAACTTTTATTTCATTTCTTTATAGCACGTCCTGTTGTTTCAAATTGGACTTTATACATATGTTGACACACAAACACGTGATAAACCCATTTGCACACTGTGAAAGAGACCCTAAATCCAAACATTTGACATTTAAACAGCTTAAATATGCTGGTAAAATAAAATAAAATATAATAAAATATAATGCAAATGAAGTCAGCGATGGTGCTGTTGACGTTTATTTGTGTTAGTTTGTGTTTGTGGGTGTTGAAGTGTATTTTCATGTTGTTTCAGAATAAAACGATGAGGTTAACGTCTCAAAGACAGACCAAACCAGGTAAACACACGTCACACAGCGTCCTCACACACACACACACACACACACACACATATACAGGAGTGTCTCTGGACACAGGAGAACTAGATGCCAGTGAGCTCCTCAACGAGCTCTGTTAACACAATGCCACACCATTTGATGAATTCAGCACAAGAGAGACGGATTTCTGTTCGCCGTCTTTCTGATATCTATTTAGTGTATATTAAATAATGCACGTTTCAGGTTGGTGACCACGACCCATCTTTAAAACATATTTTTTCACATGTAGAAATAAAACTTTAAACACATTCATCTTTAACACTGGTGGCAGTTCATCATGTTCAATCATTTTACACCACATTTAACGATGCAACGCAGTAAAGAAAAGATGAACAACACATCAAAGCGTGTATACTCTGATGATATAACTATATGAACAGAAGCGCGAGGCTTTGTGAGCGAGTCTCTTTCAGTTTTGATTCATGTGTGAATGAGGTTACAGCAGGATCTGATCTGTGTGTTAATAATGGAGAAGAGAAACCTACACTCGTCTGCACTTTCTCCTTCTCTTTTCCGCATGTCTTAAGTTGTTTTTTTGGTCATGTTAAATCCTGGATATGACTCAGATCGATACGTGAGGTTGACCTCATATAAATATCAATATTCTTTATATAATAGTGGTTTTATATAAAGCTGACGTGTGTGTGTGTTTGTGTGAGTGAGTGTGTGTGTGTGTGCGTGTTTAAATTTGTATAAGGACAAGTGTATAACATAGGTATTACAAGGAGAAGGTGACTTTTCAGGACATTACCCCATGTCCCCACTTTTCACAAAAACAAACCTGTGTGTGTGTGTGTGTGTGTGTTTCAGGGCAGGAATCTGACCATCAGAGAGGTCGGCTGGTTTCCCTGCAGTAAAGTTCAGCCGTTTGTGCCGGTGAGTGGATCAATAAAATTTCGATCCAATAACTGATATTGAATCATTATATCCGATACTGTTTATTTATTTTTTGATTTCCCACAATTTTTAATCTTTATTTTATTTCCCTCTTTTTTTATCTTGCATTTTTTTTTCTCCTCGTTTTTAATCTTTGTCTTACTATTTTTATTTTCTAAATTTTTTTATCTTTATTTTTCCCTGCAATTTGTATTTATATTTTATTGTTTATTTTTATAATACAATTTTTACTTTCTAAATTGTTTTTATTTACTTCACTCAATAATTTTTCGTCTTTATTTATGTCGTACAATTTTTATTTTCTTCGATTTTTAATCTTTATTTTTTCCTACAGTTCTTATTTCCTATAATTTTTTAATATTTATATATTTCTGACAATATTTCCTAGTTTATTGTATAACCATAATACTGTACAGTTACAGTGGGGTCCACTTTTTCATTTCAAATTAGATGATCAGTGTAACAGTTTGAGTGAAATTGTAATGAAAAATGAGCATGAGTTTAATAATGTCTTGTTATTTGGTTCATGCTTTACGGAGAGCAGCACTCGATTAATGACAGAAATGGAGCACAATCTGAAATCCTAAATGTTTTTGTTTGTTTCCAGGTTTAGATTAAATTTGATGTAATCATTTTTACATTTCGGCGTACAATAATAATAAAAATCTGCATGATAACTCCTAGTATCTACTGCTAGTTAAGTAAATGTGTTGTCTGCTCTCTGTAGGCGCCTCCTCCAGATTTAACAGGACTGCCCTGGTAACACACACACACACACACATATGCACACACACACATATGCACACACCCATGCACACACACACACACATATGCACACACACACACACACACACACACATGCACACACACACACACATATGCACACACACACATATGCACACACCCATGCACACACACACACACATATGCACACACACACATTATCTTGTGCTAAAAGATACCAAAGCCTTGTAAAGTGTTGAGATTTAATCTTAGTTTTACTTTGGCCTGTAATTTACCGTTTATGGTTGGTTCTCAGGTAGAATATGCACACACGCACACACACACATATGCACACACACACACACACACACACACACGCACACGTTTTATCTATATTCACTCCTGTTCATTAAAGCATGCATGTACAGGCAGTAACACACCCCTCTGGTGTCAGGTTCGCTGGTAACATGGACCGGGCCGGTGCTAAAACTCTGCTGATGTCTCGCTCTGACGGGACGTTTCTGGTGCGGCAGAAAGACGCTGGAGAATTCGCCATCAGCCTCAAGTACTGTGAACACACTCAAACACGCTGACTGACAGCTGTCAATCAAACAGAGCTCCAGTGACACGCCTCTCTGTCTCTGTCTCAGGTTCAGCATGGACACCAGACACATAAAGGTCACGTACTCAGAGGGATTCTACAGGATCAACGAGAAGAAAGCCTTCAAGGGACTGTTTGTGAGTGATTCAACACACACTCACTCACT